AAGTTACGCCTACATTTTAACAATTAATTTTAATTTGATTTAATTATAAATAAAAAAAAATTTTAACGTTAAATGCTTGCGAAGCAGAAGAAAAAGAAGAAGGAGAATAATAATAATATAAAAAACAACGTTTTTTTTTTACCTTTAACCTTTTGTAACCTTTTCAAATTAATTTTTTTTCCTTATCCTTCCCTTTTTTTGACGAACCCTTTTTTTACCTTTTTAATTACCTTAGAAAAATCAATAAGTTAAATAAAAAAAAATTTTTTTTTTTTTAATAACGAAACAACTTTTTTTTATTAATTAATTCTGTTATTAATTATCGATTTTGTACTTTTAACGATTCCTTTATTATTATTATTATTATTAATTTCCTATAAAATTTTTTTTTCAATTCCTTCCCCCCCCCTTCTCGTTCGCAAACGTTGAGCGGTGATGATGGTAATGTGGCGGATTTGCTTACCTGTAAACGGGTATTCCCGAAGTATCTTTAAACCAGAGAACCATGCTCACTTGATCGTTTTTATTTGCTGACATTACGTCACAGGGTAATTCGACGTCGAATCCTGGAACTCCCCAAACAACCAAAGCAGGAACTGAAACGTTAATTGAAATAAAAATAATAATAATAATAATAAAAACACAATCGTTGAATCTACAACAAACACGTAACGACGTAGTATTAGCAAAAAAATAAACGGGGGGATGAGGGGAGGGGGAGATAAGAGAAGATGAGGAGGGGAAAAAGGTGTCAAAGGTAAACCTGATGGAATAAGTTAAGAAGTGAAAGCAGAAGAAATATTTTTATTTATTTCTATGAAGAAATTTTTAAAACGTAAATAATTGACATAAAATGAATGCGAAGAATAAAAACGAAAATAAAACAGGAAAGAAAGACAGAAAGAAAAAAAAATTTAAAGTGAGTACAAAAATAAAAAGTCATTTGAATGTTATACAATTTAAATATATAATTAATGACTTCTTTCTATATGTACGTGTATAATATATAAGGGGAGTGACACATTTTGAGAAATGAGAATGAGAAGGAAGACATTTTTAAATATTCGATTCGTGCCAAAAAAAAAAAAAATTTTTTTTTTTTGATACGATTATTTGTTTATTATTTTAAATTTTCCCTTCTCCCCTCTCCTCTCTTCCCACCTCTTCCTGTTCCCCCACGTTCGATAGAACTAATTACGTATAAAAAAAATATAAATTTAAAAAAATGTAAAAAGAAAGGATGGAAAGAGAGAGAGAGGGAGAGGGAATGGAAATTGATACACTTTTGATTTCACATCGAACGATTTACAATAATAATAATAATAATAATAATAATAATAATAATAATCGATTTCCTTTTTCTTTCCCCTCCCCTCCTTCCTCCCCTTATCACCGCCTCGAAAAGAAAACAAGTTTAAATTTTTTTTTTTTTTTTTCCAGGTAAAATTGAGGAGATGGAAAAAGGGAAGGAAGGAAGGGAAAGGTAGGAGTGAAAATTTTTTTCGTTTTCATTTTTTTTCTTCTTTCTTCTGCTTTCTTTCTAGAACATTCCCATCCTATAACGTCATTTTCTTTTGAAACTAATTTGTTTTTATTATGCAAAGGTAAGTGTTATTACTAAAGATTTCGAAGTTGTATAAAATTTTATTTAAAGAGAAAAATAAAATAAAATGATATAAAGTTAAAGAATGAAAATGTAAGAGATGGAAAAAGCAAAAAAAAAAGAAAACGGGAGGAGGGGAAGGATAAAGAGAAAGAAAGAAAAGGTAAAGAA